GGACTTCCCCATACGTTTTCCCAATAAACCTGATGGACACACTTCTCTTCTAGATCTTTTTTTGTTTTTTTACCTCTATCCCTGACTTATGTCGTGCCATACAGCGCTACCCTCTTGGCAACTCTGATTTTGCGGTAGTGTCTGTAAACATCTCTTTCCGACCCCTCCCCCCCCATCAGCAAAGTACCTCCTACCAACAGAATATTTTTCTGTTATCAACAAGCGGATTGGGACTCGTTCCGTGATTTCCCGAATGAAGTTTTTAAACTTCCTATTCTAAAATGCGCATCTGAGGTTTCCTCTTTGGGTGAAGGCCGGCATTGATGCTTTCATTCCAGTAAGGAAATTTAAGTCGCGTCCATCTCCTTGGTTCTCACATGCATGCTCACGGGTTATCAGTTCTTCCGGCTGTACCAGAGAGACATGTCTGGTTGCAACAGGGGTCTCTTTGTCTCTGCTCATAACGAGTGCAAGCGTGTCCTCAAAGAAGCGAAATTACTGTTTGCTGATAGAATGAAACAACGTATGGCATCTCAAAAGTTCGGTTCTAGTGAATATTGGCGTCTCTGCAAGAGTGTGCTGAACAGTAGCAAATCCTCAATCCGTCCTCTATTCAATCAATTCAGTCTTGACATCTACAGCAGATAAGTTTCAATGTTTTGCTTGGAAATTCTCTTCCAAATCAATACTCAACTTATTTGGAGTACCCACACCTGATTTCCCCAATAGTTCAGAGATTCTACTGAGTGATATGTGCATTGGTCTCAGACACCATTTCTAAATTAGACTTCCATAAGGCAAGCAGAGGTGACGGAATCCCAGCCATCGTCCTAAAGAAATGTCCCCCCGAGCTGACTCCATTTTTCTCCAAACTCTACAACTATTGCCTAGCTGCTTCATGCTCTCCAGCTTGTTGGAAGTCCCCTGTAGTTCCTGTTTTTAAGAACTCTGGAGTACCTTCTGATCCCTCTAACTATCACTATATTAGTATCCTACCACTTTTCGGCAAAGTATTCGAGACTTTAATGCTGAAATGGTTACGCATCTTACTTCTCACGACCGACTCTCTGACAAACAACATGGTTTCCGTTTTTGCCAGGTATACCGCTGATGTGCTAACGGTCATCACTGAATATGTATATCGAACTCCTGATCATAACGGTGAAGCTCTAGCTGTGGCTTTAAATATCTCGAAGGTTTTTTACAGGGGTTGGCACGCTGGTCTTCTACGTAAGCTCCAGGGCTACGGTATTAGTGGACGGTTGTTTGATTTAATCCAGTCATTCCTATCAAATCGTGAAATTAAAATAGTTTTGAACGACCTCGCTTCCAGATCTTTTCGCACGAACACCGGTGTTCCCCAAGGTTCCTGGATTCTACGCTGTTTCTGATCTTCATCAATGATTTTCCTGATGTCATCAATTTCCAAGTAGGCATTTATGATGGTGACACTACCATTTACTCTTGTCTCAATAGCAAATCCGTCAGAGTTGATAACTGGGAAGGAAATGGCTTGTAAATTTTTGTAAATGCCTCCAAAGCAAAATTGCTCTCCTTTAACCACGAGAGAATCTTTCCTGCACGCCCTCAGCATATCTGATGCTAGACGCATGGAGAGTAACACAATGTGCATTCATGGCCTCACGTTTTCTACTGACATGAAGTGGAATGACTATGTCGAATCAATAGCTGCATCTACTGCAAGGAAAGTTGAGTCACTGTGTCATGCCAGAAAGTTTTTCTCGTCAGTGTCCATCTGGCACATTTACAAATCTACCATGCGTCCGTACATTGAATATTGTTGTCATATCTGGTCTGTTGCTCCTGCTACTCATCCCTAGGTTATTGACAAAATTCAAAGAAGGATCTGCATTGTAATCGATCGTGACTTGGAATCTCGATTTCACTGTCTTTTCTACAAATATTTTCATTACAACTGCTGTGACAAGCTTTTTTTCCCACGTGTCCGGACTACGTGAGTTTAAGCGTGCTACTATATTGGTATCTAGGTCCCACCCTTTTACTGTTGAAATAGTTAAATGTAACAGCCACTTCTGTTCCAGCAGTTTCTTTTCACGTACTTCCTGTCTTTGGAACTCCCTTCCGTTTAATTGCTTCCCTGATAACTACAATCTTCAAAAATTTAAATGCAACGTCAGTCGCCATCTTCTATCGTCTAGAATCCCGTTCAGCTTTTATCCTTTCTTCGGTCCCACTATACCCAATCTTTTCTCTCACCTTCACTCTTTGTAACCTCCTGCGTACCAGTGGCATGATATATAATTATATATCCACCTATTTTTATTATTACCCAAACGTTATTTTTAGTGAATACCTATATTTAAGTAGACGTTCGTTTATGTTAAACTATTTATTGCTTCTACCGATCTGCATATACAAGAAAACTTAATAAAGAGATACCTTCCCATAGGATTCGGAACTTCGTCACCCTTTGAAGGAGAAACCACCGTCTGATCCGGTATGCAATGTTCTGTTTTGCAGTCGACGCACAGTTCTTCGTTCAGTTCAGCTCAGTTTCGTATCCGAAACGTGAACAAAGAAAAATTAAAAAAAAAAATATGTGTCGGATTAAAAAATAAATGTCGAATTAAAAAAATTCATTAATTCTTTAGAAATTGCTTCGCTCACGTTTTTTAAAGTTATTTTTTTTATTAATATTCACCCAATACAATGCCCAAGAGACACTCATGGTAGAGGCTTACTGTGTGAAGTTATATTAGCTTAGGAAAGGATAAGTGTTAGGAGTATATAGCTAAAGTAGACTTTAAAAGGAACCGGGAACCCAACCCTAAACAGGAAACAAGGGATAAACCTCTACTCCTGTTCAAAAAACCGGGGAGGAATGTAAACCGGACAATAGACGAACCTATCTGCTCCTTGCAATTTTTAATTAATAATCTGAGTTTACTTTGAACCGTTTTGTTTTTTGTTTAAAACTTAACGACCTATCGATCAGCAAGAGATCATTTAAGGTCAAACAGTTGTTTTTTTTTTTTTTTTTTTTGTAAAATAAGGTTGAAATGCTTTCAAGAAGACTTTCCCTTTCCTTTCCTTTTTTTTCGATGTTGTCTTACTTTTTTTTTTTCTCACCTGGCAAGTATCAAAGTTTCCCCTTTCATCATCAGACACCAAATTGGAATTAGATTTTATTATATAGTCCAACTTTCCTAAGAAAGGTCAAGATCAAATTGGGGTTTGATTTTTCGAAAAGTTCTTTCAAGTTGTTCACGTTGTAAAATAATTTTCGAATATGTGCCATGTCACCGTAAAAAAATGCGGGTCTACATCAAACGATAAAAAGTGGAGATGCTACATCAGATATTAAGTTTTAAAGATTCTATATCTTTTATCCGATCCTATCATAAAATGGTAATATTTTAGTTCTATTATCCTATTGTAAACATTTGTTGCTTTTATTTTAAATACAATTTTTTTTCTGTTTTTCGTTTATTTTCTAGAATGAGATATTTAAACTTATATAAAAGTTTTAGAAGCTAATGTTTCGGAAAAAAACGAAAATTTTATTTTCAATGTTTTTTTACGAAACAGTGAAAGCTGACAAGATACCCATAGTTGAGGAGAAAACTTGAGGTGACAGAAATGTGGTTCTACAGAAGGATACTGAGAATTCCATGGACAGCGCGAGTAAGCAACGAGGAAGACTTAAAGAAAATGTCAACAGAAAGAACACTTCTACACAGACCCAGAAAGACAACAAAAAATCCTTGGGCACATAATGAGAAAGAAGGGCTTGGATAACTCAACCCTCACAGGGCATATCGAGAGCAAGAAAGATAGGCGAAAGCAGTGGACCACCTACCTAACGAGCTTATGTGAAAGTATAGCGGAACGGGGGAGGAAGGTTTTGCAAAGCGCCACAAGAAATATGAAGTCGTGGAGAGCCATTATCGCCCACGTCCTGAAGAGTCACGGCACATAGAAGAAGAATGGGAAAAAGGATTTTAGAAAATAATAAAAAAAATGGTACAACTCAGCAAAATAGCTTTGTCATAGATTGAAGCCAAGAGGACAAATTTAGCCTTTTGTTTAATTTCGGCAAAAAGTGTGTGTGTCCTGAAGCCCGTCCTCTACCCATTTCTTTAAGTAGCTCAAGTTTAATTTCCGTAAAAAGTGTGTGATGGCGTGGTGTATGAATTCCGCTGTCCAGCCGACTACAGCGCCATGGATGAACGGCTGAAACAGAAAATGAACTGAGTTCAAATTCTCTTTGAGTTAGTTCATTTTGAACTACTTATCTTGGGAACATCCCCTGCCCATCACTTTCAGTAGTTCAGGTCAGAGATTCCTCCCTGTCGTTGATGCCATGTAACTCAATATCACCTGACGCATGTCATTTGAAGAAAAGATGGGCGCAATCAAGAAACTCCATTTATTTCCTGAATAAAAACCGTGAAGTATTCAGCATGATGCCCGCAAGATTTACTAGGTCACGGGGTGGTTTTATTTATATATTTATTGAGTAGGATATGTATACTCGCCATATTTGGGTTGACTCAAATAGAACTCATTTAAAAAAAAAAAGAAAAAAAGTTCTCTGTTTGCTGATGAAAAAATTGTCTTGGAATATTTCGTGTAATTCGACGCGGCCGCACTGGATACGGTTTTGCAGGTGTTTACCGAAATTGAAGAAGAGAAAGGGTGAATAAGTTAACATCAAGGGTCTAACATCATCTTGGCATTTTTATTTATTTATTTTTCTTTTTTTTTACAAAAATAAAAAAATAAAAAAAAATAAAAAAAATAAAAAGACCTTTACGAATTTCGTGTATTTGTGAAGCGAAAAGAGATAAAATCGACCTATCCACGATAAAAGAGAGAGAGAGAGAGAGAGAGAGAGAGAGAGAGAGAGAGAGAGAGGATCAAAGAGTTGATGTATCGAATATTCGATAGAGGATATCTTTTCCGCAGAAATTAATTTCAAAGCCTATTTATAATACTGCTTCATAAACATTGTCAGTATGAGAAAGGGTATCTATCGGAGTAAGATAAAAAAAAAATCTTCATACCTTTGATATTGTCGTTTTAATGAAACACTTTTATAGTTTGCCTTGTAAAAAGTTGACAAGATCTTGATTTTTTTGTTTTTATTTATCAGATTCTATCTTTTTTCTTTTCTGACGTATTCTTTTAATGTTATTCTTGTTATAAAATAAATTTCTTTCTTTCACTCTGTCTTATTTTCTTAAGTTCTTCTCATTTACCTTTTAGGTTTACTTCTGTCCTTTCTTCTTCCAATTCTTTCTTTCTTTCTTTCTTTTTTTCTTTCTAAAGTTCTCATTTGCCGTTTAGGTTTAATTAGATCTTTTCTTTTTTTTCTTTCTTTCTTTCTTTCTTTCTTTCTTTCTTTCTTTCTTTCTTTCTTTCTTAACATATAGCGTTTAGGTTTACATCAATCCTTTCTCCATTTATTTCTTTATCTCTACTTTCTTAATTTTTTTTTCATTTACCGTTTAGGTTTAATCCTTCCTTTCGGGATCCATTTCCTTTTTTTTTTCTATATTTTTCTTAAGTTCTTTAGTTTTAGGGTTTACTTTCTTTTCTTCCTCCATTTTCTCCTTCTTTTTTTCTTTCTTTCTTTCTTTCTTTCTTTCTTAACATATAGCGTTTAGGTTTACATCAATCCTTTCTCCATTTATTTCTTTATCTCTACTTTCTTAATTTTTTTTCATTTACCGTTTAGGTTTAATCCTTCCTTTCGGGATCCATTTCCTTGTATTTTTCTTTCTCTATATTTTTCTTAAGTTCTTTAGTTTTAGGTTTACTTCCGCGCTTTCTTCCTCCATTTCTCTCCTTCTTTCTTTCTTTCTTTCTTTCTTTCTTTCTTTCTTAACATATAGCGTTTAGGTTTACATCAATCCTTTCTCCATTTATTTCTTTATCTCTACTTTCTTAATTTTTTTTCATTTACCGTTTAGGTTTAATCCTTCCTTTCGGGATCCATTTCCTTGTATTTTTCTTTCTCTATATTTTTCTTAAGTTCTTTAGTTTTAGGTTTACTTCCGCGCTTTCTTCCTCCATTTCTCTCCTTCTTTCTTTCTTTCTTTTTCTTTCTTTCTTTCTTAACATATAGCGTTTAGGTTTACATCAATCCTTTCTCCATTTATTTCTTTATCTCTACTTTTCTTAATTTTTTTTTTCATTTACCGTTTAGGTTTAATCCTTCCTTTCAGGATCCATTTCCTTGTATTTTTCTTTTCTATATTTTTCTTAAGTTCTTTAGTTTTAGGTTTACTTCGCGCTTTCTTCCTCCATTTCTCTCCTTCTTTTTCTTTCTTTCTTTTGCTTTCTTTTTTCTTTCTTAACATATAGCGTTTAGGTTTACATCAATCCTTTCTCCATTTATTTCTTTATCTCTACTTTCTTAATTTTTTTTCATTTACCGTTTAGGTTTAATCCTTCCTTTCGGGATCCATTTCCTTGTATTTTCTTTTCTATATTTTCTTAAGTTCTTTTAGTTTTAGGTTTACTTCCGCTTTCTTCCTCCATTTCTTTCTTTCTTTCTTTCTTTCTTTCTTTCTTAACATATAGCGTTTAGGTTTTTCAATCCTTTCTCCATTTATTTCTTTATCTCTACTTTCTTAATTTTTTTCATTTACCGTTTTAGGTTTAATCCTTCCTTTCAGGATCCATTTCTTGTATTTTTTCTTTCTCTATATTTTTCTTAAGTTCTTTAGTTTTAGGTTTACTTCCGCGCTTTCTTCCTCCATTTCTCTCCTTCTTTCTTTCTTTCTTTCTTTCTTTATTTGTACTTTCATAAAATCTTATCATTTACAGTTTAGTTTTACTTCCCTCTTCCTTCCTCCATTTCTTTCTTTACATTTTCTTAAGTTCTTTTCATTTACCATTTAGATGATCCATTGATCCATTTCTTTCTTTTTTCTTTCTATCGAATTTCTTAATTTCTTTTCGTTTACTATTTAGAATTACTTCCTTCCTACTTCCGTCCTTCCTTCCTCCATTTCTTTCTTTCTTTCTTTCTAAGTTATTTTCATTTAGAGCTTAGGCTTACTTCCTTCCTTTCTTCCTCCATTACATTCTTTCTTTGTGTCTTTCTTTCTTTTCACAGTCTTAAGTTCTTTTCATTTACTGTTTAGGTTTTCCACCTTCTTTTCTTCCTTCTTTACTTTAGCCTTTAGTTTTACTTCCTTCCTTTCTTCCTCCACTTTTTTTTTCTTTCCACTTTATTAAGTTCTTTTTCTTTATATTCTTTAGGTTTACTTACTTTCTTTCTTCCCTCCATTTCTTTGTTTCTTTCTTTCCACGTTCTTTTCATTTACCGTTTGGGTTTACTTTTCCCCTTTCTTCCTCCATTTCTAACTGTGTTTGTTTTTGTCTCTCTTTCCACTTTCTGAAGTTCATTTCGTTTACCGTTTAGGTTTACTTCCTTTCTTCCTCCATTTTTCTTTCTTTTTTCTTTCTTTCCCCTTTCTTATGTTCTTTTTATTTACCGTGTAGTTTTATCACCATCTTTTTTTGCTACATATCTTTCTTTCTTTACTTTTTCTTACGTTCTTTACCCTTAGTTTTAATTCCCTCCTTTCTTCATTCATTTCTTTCTTTTCATATTCGTAATTTCTTTTTATTTACCGTTTAGGTTTCCTTCCTTCCTTTCTTCATTCATTTCTTTCTTTCTTTCTTTCTTTTTCTTTCTATTCTCAATTTCTTTTCATTTATCATTTAAATTATCTTTCTTTCAATATCTTTGCATCTTCTTCATTGGATTCTGTTAATTATCTCTAGATTTATAGAAGCACCAGACCAGATGTAGCCGCCCATATTCGATGCATCGACAAATGGTAGACATATAAATGTGCAAGATGATTTATCATGTGCATTTCAGCATTATCGTGTTTTTTTATGAGAAATCTTTACAATATCTAATTTCCTCGTGTGAAATTTTATTAAGCAACTCAATGTTTGTTTATCATATTGTAAGTAACATACAAGAACAAAATTATTGTTATTTATCTTTTAATTTCAGATATATGAAGATTGTCATGGATCCTAAGAAAGATATAACGTTAAAAAAAAAACAAGATATTGTAAAGTTATTGCATGATGGGAAAACGACGCAGAAAAGTGTTAAAGAGTAAAAAAAGATCAAAGAACAATAAAAAAAAGGAAATTGACAGAATTGGTAAAATAAGAATAAAAAAAAAACTCAGTTTAAGAATATCACAAATAGAGATTTGAGAAAAAACAAAAAAGGCCAATAAACAAGAAAATATTGGTATAGCTTGCTCCTAAATTGGCTGCGGCATTATGTATCCTTCTGCTGTCTCTCGGAAAGTCACATTCATACACAATTTGAGTTTTAGTATTATATATATATATATATATATATATATATATATATATATATATATATATATATATACCAGCAAGCAGAAATATTTCTTCTCCCAATGATGGCCATTTTGGCCGAAACTAGTCGAGGAATCTAAATGAAATAATAATAAAAAAAAAAAAAAAAAAAAAAAACGAAAGAATATTAATCTACAACCCAGTGTGTCTGAAGATTTTAATTTTCCAATATTTTTTTTATTATTTCAATATATATATATATATATATATATATATATATATATATATATATATATATACATAACTAGACTCGTTTCGAAAAACCCTCAATTTTTGATTTGCTAATCAAATCAATCTCGACGGAAAAAAAGGTTTTAAAAAAAAAAGAGCTACAAACATGAACTTCTGCCGACAAAAAATCGCACAGATGCAGGTCTGAAGCCCAAAGAAAAAACCCCGATACGAGTAACAACTAACTAACAAAAGAGCTCAATACAACCATATATATGGAATAGCTTATAGTTGTACCAACGAGAGAAAAATGTATATTTTAAAAAAGAGAAACCGCAAACGTTTTTGGCTGTAATGTCGATTTGTTTCACTTATAGTATATACAGTGTAACCCGGATATAAGAGAGTTGTCGGGACCGGAGAAGAAGTCTCTCATATCCGGGTTTCTCTTATATCCGGGTTTGGTCTATTTTATATACATTAACACAGGCTCTAATTTGGGACCAGAAAAAATCTCTCTTATATCCGGGTTACACTGTATATTATATTTTATTCTTCATATTTCTGCGCGTCCTGTAAACTAGATCCAACATTAAGGCCTCTGATCAAGAGTCTTTGAGGGGCGTGGAACCACTTTTTAATTGCTGTTGTTCCCAGGTCCGCCCTGACCCGGGGTGGTAGCACCTGTTAAGGCCCCAGTTATGGGTAAATAGTTAACCCCTAAATTGGGGTCAAAACACTATGAAAGTGTAAAAGTAAGTTTTAATACCAGCAATACTTTTTTTGCAAGAAAATTACCAGCAATTAATTTAGGTAACTCCATGAGATCGCTAAAAATGAGCATAGCATGACGAAAAAGACGCCAAACTGGACGAAAACAAAACTTTATTGTCTAAATGTTAATTGTTATTATTAAGAGGAAAGATCAAAGTATTCTGGGGGGTATTTTTTACAGATTTTAATCGTTCCTAGCACGTCCAAAATTTTTGTTAAAAATCTTATTTTTGAGACAGAAAACTTGACAGATAATCAATCATGTCAACCATTTTTTCTATTTTATAAAAAAATGAAAATCTCAGTTTGAAATTCTTTTAAAAGTCAATTATAATTTTTTCAAAACTTATTTTAAGAAAATTAGAAATTATAATGTTTATTTAAAATATTTTGAAACAAGCTTAACTTAGCTTCTGCACCGAAAATAAATCAAAGCAGGTCATACCCTTTCGCGTCACTTGACATGTGACGAAAGACATTTTCATGGCGTTCTGATAGCTTACGTGAGGATAATTTATTCTACGGAAGGAGAAAAGTGAAATTATTTAGATTTAAGTGAAAAAATAATTTACCTCGTTATTTTGAAGGAAAACTTTCAGAGCTTTTTTTGTACTTAGCTTTCACCTTTACGTTTACGATGCTTTATGGAAAATATATTTTAAAGAAATTAAAATAAGACTGTTGAGAGTGAGATTAAATTTCATAAAATTGAAATTAGACGACTCACTGAAAACTGTAAAACAATTTCACAAAATTGAAATTGCAATGAAATATGTAAATGAAATGAATGGTATATTTAAAATTATAGTAAGTTGCTGCTGCAAATGGCTTAGGATGGTGTTCAAATTTTTTTTAATTAGTAAAAACGCTAATTTAAAATGCTCAACATGTGTTTGGCACGAAGAATTTGCAATAATGAGATGGACGTTCAGCAGAGAACGCATACACTCAAGTCACGTGACGTTTTATTGCTTGTGACCTTCCGTACTTTTTAATTACAGCCATTTTAACGATTTCTTATGAAGACAAAATTACATTTCTTAATTACTGCGGGTCTTTTGATTGGTAGAAATTAAACAATTTACGATGCGCTAAAAAATGTCATAAGGACATTTACGAAAGTAAATGAGGCTTTCAACTAATTTTATAATAATTTAACAACTTAAATGTAAAAATCTAAAATAATTAAAGAAATAACAAATAACTGTATTAAAAATTCATTTTTCATCGAAAAAATTTTTTGCTTTTAGAAAATATTGTCCATATTCATAAAAAACAACTAAAAGCAAATAAAAGTATTTGAAATTAAATAATATCTTTGTTTTATTGAGTTTTGTATGTTACAGTTCAGAGCTGATTTTTTATCCAATAAAAAAAAAACATGATTTGCATTCCTCAAAGCCTTGTGCTTTTAAATATTGTAATCATTAAACTGTATTAGATCGAATTTCTAGAGTTTTCATAAAATTAGTTATGGCGGTGGGTAATAACTATAAAAATATTTTTGCCATGACTTTAATAAAAAGAAACATATTTATAATAATTTCGATTATGTGTGAATAGTTTCTGAAAGTTTCATTAACATCCGACAATTATTTTTTTATTTTTGCAAGATTTTTCAAATTAATGTCTGTCATACAAAAAAAAAAAAAGGTCCAAAAATTGTATATGCTATTTTATTAGTTCCGGTGATACAAAGAGAAACAAGGTTTTTTTAATCAAAATTTAGAATGTTCTAAAAAGAAGGAAGAATTAAAAAAAATAATTAAAAAAAACTTTGGTCTTTTCTCTTAATAATAACATAAACATTTAGACGATAAAATTTTGTTTTCGTCAAGTTTGGCGTCTATTTCATCATGCTATGCTCTTTTTTTTTTTTTAGCGATCTCATGGAGTTACCTAAATAAATTTTTGAAGAAAAAAATTATTACCTGCAATACATATTTGAAAAAAAAATATTACCAGCAATACATTTTTGAAGATAAAAATATTATCAGCAATAAAAATCTTGTCAGCATTAAATGACCCATTGAGCCGTAAAACAAAACAAACCAACCAAAGTAAACCATATTTCTGCTATACGGATTTCAGGTTTCGTGATATTCTTCAGGCAAATAAAAGGAATAAATTTGCCTTATGTTCTTTTAATGTCTCATTGTTTGTTTTCTGTATTTGTTAGTGAGCATTGAACGCCTTTCTTAACTGTTAGCAAAAGAGAATTTCTGCCTAAGTGTTAATAATGTTAATTATTAACACGTTTAGCGTCTTTTTTTTTACTTTTTTTTCTTTTTGCAAAATTCAAATAATTGTCTGAATTTAATGTAACTTTCCGGACTTATTCACAGATGAATGAAATTATTTTAGAATATTTTTTTAGAAAATTTAGTTAAAATATATTTTGCTTTATGTAAAGCAAAATATATTTTAACTAAATTTTACCCGCCTCCGCTTTCTTAATATTATGAAATTTCGATAAATTAAATTTCATGCCCTTCCTATTTATATTAGTTAAAAACAGAAATTCTTGGAGGATTTAAACCATCAATTGTTTTGTAAAACAGAAACTTCACTTAGCGAAAATCTGCTCTGAATCGTAAAATAAAAAATTCAATAAAACTAAGACATTATTTAATTAGAAAAGCTTTTAATTGCTTTTATAAGATTTATTAAAGAAACTATTGTCTGAAGAAATTTTTTTGATGAATAATTAATTATTATAAAAACTGTTTTCACTTTTTAAAAAAAATAATTAGAATAATTTATAAAGTTTGAAAATCTTTTAAAATTTTGTATCAATTTAATCCTTTTAGATGATATCCTTATGAAGTAAAAACTATATTTACTCATCATAAATGGAAAAGATTAGCACACATCGTCAAACGTCAATATTTTTAGAAGAATTTTGAATTTTTCTTTTGTATGTGTACAAACGTGCTGATTTTTGTAGATAAGATTGTTCTCACACGACATTATCAGAAAATATGAACGATCCCTTTAGTAAATTTAAAGCCAAAGTATCTACAGTTAAATAAAGCACAACGGAGAATATTTTCCTAAATTTTTGAGATTATTGAGTACTTACAAATTATATAAAAAGGGCTAAAGAGCTCGGATATGCAGAACCTTTCGACAGTTTTTACGCATTTTGTGTCCAGAAAAGAAAACACTTGTACGAACACAAGAAGAATTAAATAAAAAGCTTAATCGCAGTAACTTGTCAGTCGTCTTTAACAAAACGTGTATAAAAGAGGATTTCAGCCGAAATACAATATGTATATATATATATATATATATATATATATATATATATATATATATATATATATATATATATTCGATGCAGTGAGAACGAAAATAATATATACATTCTAA